CAAAAGTTTTGGAGAAAAGAACTATAGGCATGTAGTAGACAGGAATGGAGGCAAGGACAAATTTGATGTAAGTAAGTCTGCCAACGTGGTTCAGTTTGTTGGCCCTGACAGTGGTAACTGGTAAGCTTAGAACGAAATTTGTTGAGAATGAAATCATAAGTTTTGTTGCTGTCCCTGTGATTGAAAATAATGGGGTGACCGAGGTGCATGGTATTAGAAAGCAGATCAGGGACAGGAAAGATAGCTTTAGTTTGGGTTTTGGTGGCACTGTCAACATTCTTGCTGAAAAGAATGGAAGATTTCTGGAAATTCGGAATTTAACCCGAGAGCTGGGAGAAGTGGTGGAAGATGGAATTGATGGTCGTGGCCTCAGCCACAGAGGCCTGACCACAGAGGATCAAATCATCTGTCAAAAGGAGGGAGTGAATGGGTGGACAGCCGGGCCCCAGACTGACGCCGGTAAGGTTCCTGTTCTCCAACTCAGATTGCAACCGGATGGACAGTTCATTTATAGCGATAACAAAAAGATACGGTGACAGAGGGCAACCCTGCCGAATACCTCGCTGGGAACGAAAAGTGGCAGAGGGCTCGCCGTTAACAAAAAGATACGGTGACAGAGGGCAACCCTGCCGAATACCTCGCTGGGAACGAAAAGTGGCAGAGGGCTCGCCGTTAACCAAAACAGAAAAGGTAGGAGAGGAGATGCATGCATGGATGAGGTTAATAAAATGACCATGATACCCTTGACGTCGGAGGGCGGACTCAATAAAACCCCATTCTAGTCTATCAAAAGCTTTAGCTAAATCTAGTTTAAGAAGGAAAGCCTTCTGGTTCCAGGTTTTAAGGTTGAAGGAGTGAATAATTTCCTGAGTAATGATTACATTAGAAGAAACATGTCTGTTAGTAATAAAAGCAGCTTGAGCATGATTAATGTAATTCGGAAGGTGAGGCTTAATCCTATTAGCAATAGACTTGGCTATGATTTTGTAAATAACATTGCAAAGACTGATAGGCCTGAAGTCCTGAGGAATTAGGGGCTGATCTTTTTTAGGTATTAGAGCTATGAAGGTTTTTTAATGTCATCACTGAAATGAGCAGAGGAATAAAATTCTGTTACCAGTTTGCTGACATCTTGTTTGATCCACAGCCACGCCGCTTTATAGAAGGCAGCGTTGAGGCCATCAGGTCCCGGGCTAGCATTGTTCCTCATCTGCCTGACAATATCATACAGTTCCTGCATGTCTGGAATGGAGTTAGTGTAAGTGTCATTTGCAGGAGTATCTGTGCCTGTTGTAGTAGTATGTGCAGTCTCATCTGAAGCAGGGTTGTGATCGTGGAAAGTAGTAGAGGCCATAGTAGGGGTTAAGTTGGCTGAGGAGTTGGTTTGCTGGGAGCTGATCAGCTGCTGAGGAACCTGGCTTTGTGAAGTAAAGATGGATTGGAAATAGTTATCGAGGGTGGTAGCTAGTTGGTCAGGAGTGGTGGAATGAGAGCCGTCAGGGTTCTGCAAGTGGGTGATACGGTTCCTTCTATTTCTTTTGGCTATGGAGTGGTGGAAGTAATATGTGTTGCGGTCTCCATTAATAGCCCAGTCCTTTTTGGCTCTTTGTAAGTGGTAGATCTCGTCTTTGGCTAGAAGTTCTTGGTGCTGGTGGGTGAGGTCATTTTGCAAAGAGTGGTTTTGCTGGTTGGGGGGTTTGGCTTGGAGCTGGAGAAGATGGTTCTCAATGGCAGCAAGCTGGTCAGGTATTCTGGGTTTACTTTTTCTCCACTTAGGAAGATCGTGGGCAAGGTAGCTGGTTTTCTGGGTGAACGTTCTTGAAGCCGATCGTTGCCAACTTTGATGTGCTACCGTGTGGTATTCCTGTTCTCTGGGTCACCAGTTCTCAAAACGAAAAGGTCGATTAGTTTTGTAACGTGTAGAATTTAAAACAGCAAGGATAAGACCATGGTCACTACGCAGCATTGGAATGTGGTAGATTGTTGTCGAGGGAAAAGCCATACACCACTCTGCATTTCCAAGACAGCGACCAAGTCTTTCATAAGTTGGATTAGTAGTGAAACGTTTATTAGTCCAAGTGTACGCAGGACCACTATAACCCAGATCAATGAAACCACACTGTTTGACATGAGCACAAAAATTATTTATACATCTAACATCAGCCCTAGTAGGACCTAATTTCTCATTGACATGCATGATGTTGTTGATATCTCCCATACATAAGATAGGCAAGTTGCTATTATGCACAACAAAATTAAGCACTTGTCTCCAGATATCACTAGTGGCACGGTGGTGAGGATCACCATATATACAAAGAAGACCATACTGCTGCATAGTAGCGCTTTTTGTACACAAAGCAAAGATATAGTGATGGGAGTGATCTACTATGGTAATGTCTACTTCATCGTTCCAAATCAGCCAAAGGCCCCCAGACTGGCTTTGCGCTGGAACGACAAAAGCATCGAAGTAATTAAAACAATTTATAAGTGAAGTTCTTTTAATTGAGGAGTTCCTAGTTTCTGAAATAAAACATACATGTGCTTTAGTGGAGGTGAGTAGGCGGGCTAGATGGGTCATCTTGGAACTGCGGAGGCTCCCGCCTGAGCCGCGGCAGTTCCAGGCGAGGTGCGTCATGGCTCCCTTGGCGCCCTTGAGGCCGGAGCCGAAGCCTGATCAGGAGCGTAGGGGCTATGCTGTAGAAGATCATCGTGAGCTGCAGTCCGCATTCCACCATTATCACCGCTTTGAGTCGAAGCTTTTGTCGTCGCTGCCAAGGTGAGGCTGTCGGCAGGGAGATGTGGCACGATCTGATCCTCCTCATCGTGAGGGTGACCTGGGATGGCCTGAGCCTGAAACTGCCCTGCCTCATGGTCTCTGTTCTGAGTACTGTGTTGCGACTGATGGCTAGTGTGGTGCTGTGGGCGAGCTGTGTTGTGGTGCTCCATCCCATGAGGCTGCCACTGCATAGTCTGATCCTGGGATGGTAAATTGTTGTTTTCCTGGGCTACATCCTGATCAATTTTTGATTCAGTTGGGCCAGCTGGTCTTCCATCTTAGTATCATCATGTGGAGAAGCATTGACCCTGTCATTTCTTGTTCTGTGATTGTCAATTGTGTCCTCTGCAGTGCTCTGAATCTGAAGCTGATGTGCAGGTATAGCAGCTTGGATGTGTGTGTTGCCCGGTGGATGGGGAGTATGAGTGGGTCGAGGGTCAGTGAATGCAGCTCTGAGTCTACTGCGCATAGGTGATGGCTGAGTTGTTTCAGTAGCAGATGTTGTAAGCTGTCTGATGACATAGTCCATTGGATTTTCAGAAATCTGTGTCATCCAAGCACCATAAACAAAGGGCGTTTGGGCTTGATCATGTGTTTATCAGCATATACTCGAAAGTTATGCTCCGGTAGTTCTCTAAAAAACTTTACCCGGATCTTATAAGCACCATATTAATTAAGACTTTTGCTATTTATCTGTTGACATATTTTTTTGGTATTAAATTTGTCAGTATACGTTTGATTATGCTTTAGGATTTTTGCTACAACTGTCTACTGGGTTCTATTTATAAAAAATCTGATAGATTTAACCACGTAAGATCTATCGATAGATAATTAAACACTTCCATTAATTAATATATTATTATTTTGGCGTGAATCTAGATTGAGAACAGCCCTGCCTAGGTTTAAACCAAGCCTAGTGCCTGTATACCTGAGTCTCCTCTTTTGTGTGCATATGACTGACATGGCAGTCGAATCAGACTGTTATTGTACCTGCCACTATAACAAATCTAGCCTTTTGTAACATTTTCTTGTGACAAGAGAGGGATTTGTCGTTGATTTACGATGTTTTCTCTATAAATTGTCACAAGATGTTGCCCTATATTTTTGCGACACTAAAAGAACTGTCAAAGAAAACGTCGCAAAAAAAACGACGAAAACCAAGAAAATGACATTAAAAATCGTCGTAAACTAGTTATAGAGATTGTTTGACGAATTAGATTTTGTTATAGAGATTGTTTGTCATTGACGATGAATTTTCTATTATCATAGACTAATGCATCATGCCATCGACCATGAATTTCTCTATTATCATGGCACTTAATAGTTAGTGACAATTCTTCCTAAAACAACGACAATAGCCATTGTTGCAAATTTAGTGACAAAGCAGTTTGTCAAAAATTTAGTGACAAAAAATTGTGTTCATCACCAAAGGTGTTAAACACTACAAATGGGAATTTGTCATGCTAACGTCACCAAATCCGTAACTTGCGTAAATTTAGTCTTCAACGACAATAGCTGATTGTCGCATAAGGTAAGTGTGTTGTAGTACGCTTTTATTAATATTTTACAGTGGCACTGGACCCGAGCCTGGCGGTCCACAAGCCCTCGCACAGGCGACACGAGGTCGAGTTCGAGTTTAGCTGTAGCAACAAGTCGTTGTCCGCATTCAGCCTCCTCAGCACCGCTGGCGCTGACTTGTAGTTTTTTTATTTCATTTGATTTGGTTAGATATTTCCTTTTTTCAGATTCGGATTTGGAATGATTTGATTTGATTTGATATCCGATTTGGAGGAGCGAGGCAAAAAATAAATAAATCCGAGGGCGAGCTGAGTAGGGCGGTACGATGATACCCTGCATGTTTGACTTGTATTTTTTCTGATTTCATTTGATTTGGTTTAATATTTTTCTTTTTTTCTGATTCGGATTTATAACGATTTGATTTGATTTGGTATTCGATTCTGATTTGGAGGAGCGAGTAAAAAATGAATCGGATGAGCTGAGCAGGGCGGGGCGGCGCGACAATAATAATACAGTAGATAGAAGTAGAAATAGATCTCGAGGGAGGCAGTTGCAAACAGTGTACACAGAGGCCAGTTCATCGGGCTTCGGTGAGTTCGGTCCAGTCAGAGCTCCCGAGTCCACGGCTACACACGTCGCCGCTTCCTCTCCACTCCCACCCCCGCGCCTGCCGCCTACCCCGCCGCGCGGGGCCCCACCCATCGCCATGCCTCAGTCCGCCGCCACCGCCGGCGCCGCCGCCTTCGTCTTCCCGGCCGTCGCGGTCCCCTGCCGCGTGCTTCCTCAACGGCGGGCGAGGAGCCTCGCCGTCCGCGCCGTCGCCTCCCCTCCAGCCTCCACGGTCAAGCCCGCCCCGCCGCCCTCCAAGGTGCGATCGTCTAGCGCTTACTCATTGCTAGTAATGTACTGTTCGCTGGTTCGGTTGCCTGCCTGGTTGAACTCAGTGCCTTACTGAGATCGCTGTGTTGGGCGGTTCAACAGGCAGCTGAATAAGCCCGGATTCGTTGCGCGTTGGTTGGAACGCGAACTGCTTCGATGTGCTTTGAGATCCCATATTGCAAGGCACATGGGGTTGCGATTCCCAACTTTTTATGGTTAATTAATTTAGTAACATAATGGCTAATTGGCTATTTCCGTTATCTTCGAGTCTATATACTATTTTCATTCGCTGAAATATGGGGGCGGCTGGTGCAGATCCTGAAGAAATTGCCATGTCCACAAAATGAAAATGCAATAGCTCTTTAGCTCTTATCTTGTAGGGAATATATTATACGCTTTAATGTTAGTTTTAAGTTTAAAACACTACCAACTAGCAACATGCATCATACATGGTCAACCTTAGTCGGGGTTTATGATTGTAATATATCTTCTCTTCTTTACATTTTGGGAAATCATTGCAAAAAGGGTGAGTATTGAAATATGAAGTGAACTGCTCACCTTCCCCATCAATTTAGTGGGTTCGAACTAGTCACTGCATGTAACTTAATAGTGAGAACAAATGGTTGTTAATCAGGTACCTCTTTGATTCCTTAGAAGAACTGAGCACTTAGGGACAGGGGAGCTCAGCCAAATGATTTACAAAGAAGTTATTCTAGGGTATGATTCTATGTAATGATCTGAGGGGTTGGGAGCTGTGAAAACTTGGGGCACGTTTGGATGCGCAACAAGGTTTGCTCACCTGGCCTCGCTGCCAGTCGAGACTAACCTTGCCTGTTGTGGCAAGCCAATTCAGCTCTCTCGTTCCAGCAAGAAAAACTAGCTTGTACAAGCATCGAGGCAACCCAGCAAGGTAACCAAACACGTTTTGTATATCCCGTTTCTGGCGGGGCAAGGCGAGGCGAGGCTCACATGCCGAACCAAACATGCTCTAGCTTGTCCTGATTCACTTCCTACAAAGAGTTTATCCTAGAGAACCATAGAGAATCGTTTCTCCTTGAGAATCACTTCCTACATTTAATCAGAAGTAGGAGAAGCCTTAGCAGCAATGTTCCTGGAAGGGAACGGGAACATGGACCGATACTTTATAATGTTCTTATACTATGGGAACGTAAATGTTCCTAGAATGGGAACGTAAATGTTCCTAGAATGATGTCCCCGAAACGAGGAACATGGCCATGTTCCACGCTTCCGGCTGCTAAGGCAGGAGCCCTAGTAAACTGGCCCCAATTAATCATTTAGACTAAGAACTTAAAAAAATGCAAGTTTGTTGTCTCCATTTCTATTAGTCTATATCATCTTACTATCAGTTATCATGAAACCTTCCATAACTGAAAAATAATCAGTTTAACTTTGGTCAAGATATTTGGCAGAAAGCCTAGTGTGAGTTAAAGTATGATTGACTACTTAGCTGAATGCTAGTGGAGTCTGGACCTCTTAGGCTAACATTAGAGCTGTGGTATAACATTCCACTTGAATGGCATCATTAGCTTCCAGCAAAACCACACAAAGCATTTTTTGTGTTTCCCCTTTAAATTGTGGCATTGTTTCAACTGACTCCATTGTGTATCGGTTTGTTAAATTTTTAATGTTAATGTGAATACAATACCTCTAGTGGCAGATATCTTACATTAGACTTAAGAATGATATGTCTTGACAAAAGGTTATATTACCAATTTTGTCCTGCCTCTCTCTGCTGTTACCTGTGCTATAACATTGTTGATGTTTTTCCAGACTGGGAAGTGGGAGTGGAAATTCGAGAATAAGCCGGTAAACATATACTATGAGGAACATGAGCAGGAGGTTGCTGAGAATGTGAAGAACATTCTCATGATCCCTACGATCTCTGATGTTAGCACAGTGGAGGAGTGGAGGGTGGTTGCCAAAGATATTGTTGGGCGAAAAGGAGAACTTGGCTACCGTGCTACTATTGTTGATTGGCCTGGTCTTGGTTATTCAGATAGGCCATCACTGAACTACAATGCTGATGTGATGGAGAGCTTTCTGGTTGAACTAATAAATTCACCAAACAGTCCAGTGGCAAATGCAGGTAAACCTGGTTATAGTTTTTTCCAGTGGGCTTTTTTACATGACCAACACACTTCATTTTTGTGAGGATACTAGGTGCTAGGTGAACACTGTTATTACGCCCCCACACACACACACACACACACACACACCACCACCACCACCAAAAAAAAAAGGATGTGTGGTTCCAAGTTCAGCCAGTTCAATGGTTCAACCAGAAATACTATGTTTGTGAACAAGGTTACCTCTGGTCAAGGATCCATAATTCCATATGTAGGCAACTAAAAATAATACAAAAGGCATATTTTCGAGAAAAGTCTTCTTTTATGTTCAATGGAAACTTATTGGCAACTGAAAACTGACATCTGATGGGGATCCTGAATACCAATAAACGTGTGTAAATAAGTACAGCAACACTGCAGCTTAAATTAGAGGATAAATGTTCAGCAGAACAACATTTCATACTAGAAAGTATCTTTTATGATATATTTATGGTGGATAATATGCCAAAAGTCACGCAACAAATTCGACTTGGTTGTCGATCACTACGCAGATTGTTCTTGTCAATACAGTTTTATTGATTTTTCAATACCTCTAAGCAAGTTTGAATCAGGTTCCCATTGATTTAATAAGTTTATACTTACCCTTTCCCTTTAACTTTATCATTTGATTAGTGATGGACTGTACCTTCTATCCCATGAACAGATGATGAGCTGGTCATTGTTGGAGGTGGTCATGCAGCAACAATAGCAATTCGTGCAGCTGGTAAGGGCCTTATAAGACCATCTGCTGTTGCTGCTGTTGCACCTACTTGGGCTGGACCCCTTCCCATCGTATTTGGCCGAGGTTCTGATATGGAAACAAGGTAGCAAACTGATTATATGACCTGATATTTCATATGTCAGAAAATGCCCACAAAGATCCTTGACTCTTTAACTTGTGACTGCGGTACATGCTCTGTTGTCAACACTTCGTACCTCTAGAACATATTCTCGAATCCTTTCCTTACCACATTTAGTATCTTCTGTGGTTCATTTTGTGTCAGACTCTCATGACTGCACATAAGTATGCTGCTACACAAAAGTGTACCAGATTCGCTGTGGCAGTCATGCAGTAGGAACAGATGAGAGATGCTCCCATTTCAGTTTTAAAATCATTATAATGATCCTGACTTTCTATCTACCCATTTAAATTATTTGCATGTGGCATATTGCTGCTTGTCCTGTGATGTTACTGTTATGTGGGGGCTGCAAGCATAATTATTTGGACTGGATCGGACTGGTGGTCCGACCGCAAAAAACCGGAACCAGGACCCTGGCCAGTTCGGTCCACTTAAAAGACCAGGTGTGCAGTTGAACTGGGAAAAAGTGGTTGAAGCCCTGTTTTTTAGGGAGGGAAATAGAGAAAAAATAGGCCTAGTATGGGGTTTGAACATGAGACTTATAGGTTGGGGAGCTCATTCCCTAGCCGTTTCAGACTGTCGGTCCAACTGGTTAGACCAACAATCAAACCGTGAACCGAGGGCTTCACCGGTCTAATCCCCGGTCTGGTCCAAATACCTATGGCAGCAAGTATCAGCGTTGGCACAAGATTCAGAAGTAGTTCAGCAGGGTTAGTTGGATAAACATTCAGAGTTAGTTCAAGAAGATTTGGTTAGGAGATAAGTTCATTTAGCAATTGAGTTCATTTAGAGATTAAGTTTGTTTATATTGAGTTGGTTAGAACTTGGTTGTTATCTTGCGCATGGGGTAAATACGTCTATATAAAGGTCTTGATGCAATCTGAAACAGGCAAACAAGTTTAATCTATTTCCTCCACCTTATTCTACCAAGCGCAGAGCAGTTGGGGCTTAACCCTGGCCCTTTGTCGCCTCTCTGTGTGCCAGCCAACCCCTGCCTATTCCAGTTACCACAAGTTGTGCTGCTTGTTTCCATTGTTTTGTAATGCAGTGCTTTTATGTGTACAATGTATTCAAAGAATGGTGCGTTTGTTTCCATGGTTTAGTAGTGCATTGCTGTTGTGTACAGATATATTTGTATGTTTACCACCTGTCACACCATTAAGGAGTCCTGATGACCTGATGGCTGGTGGCCGATTTAGAATGTTTGTTCGTATTAATGAGTGTGCATTGGTGCAGCGGCTATTAGGAATATTTGACCTTTGTTTTCATTTATGAAATTTTATATGTTGTATAGACAGTGGCATTAGCATGTTCCAGGCACACCATTTTCCAAATTGATCCCATGGCTTAATTTGATCAAGATCAGTTTTACTTTCCACTGCTATTTTTCATTCATTTCATGTGCACTATTACCATTCATTTAATATAAATATGTATAACTAGCTAACAAAACTTGTGATAGTGGTTTGCTAGGGTTGAAGCAATATTCTGGATCATGCATTACTATGTGTGTATGAACTACCTTTATCACATAATCTTTGTCAGGGAATCCCATTAAGATACACCTGTGGCCTGTGACATTTCTTATATTCTTAACATTTGGGTGGAAGCACTTTTCCTGTTAAGAGAACTGAAATAATGTTGATTGCTGTTAGTTTTTTCAACAACATTTTGGATTTTTTGCACCTACTTTACTATAAAGTGCATGCTTCAGTTACATGTCTCATGCATGCCTGTAGCATATGTTCTCGACTCCTTCCCTTCAGAACATTCTTTTTGCTTGATGCATGGCTATCACCAGTGCATACATTCTTACAGACGACCATGGCATGCAATAGTGTGCCACAGATACATCTGGTGTAGCATCCTGATAGGCATGAAGGGCATACAGAACCTTGTAAGTTGTGAAGTCATCAAGACAGTAATATGACCTGGAAGTCATCCTGATAGGCACACAATGCATTTGTGAATTTTGCTTTGCGTACCTCATATTGCCATTTGTTGTGCAATGTTCATGTTTTTAATTGTATTGCATGTTCTGATTGGGCTATCACATTCGATGAACAATGCATTTGTTTCCTGTGTTTAGTAGTGCAGTGCTGCTCTGCATACAAATGGTTCTCATCCATATACAGATTGCCATGCAGCAAAGTGCAGTTCTCATTGCAATAAATTTATCTGTATTCTTTTGTAGAGAAAGTGGCAATAGCATGGTTTTGCAGGCACTTGCATTAATGGATCAGAGGGCCCCTTTGGAATGCAGGAATTTTGCAGGAATCAGTTCATTTTCACAGTAAAAACACAGGAAATAGAAAATAAAATTCCTTTGTTCTAAAGGGGGCCTTGATCTGATTATGGAGATCATCATTTACCAGTTCTGCTGTCCAGCAGTTATATTTCTTTCATTTTTATGTGGATAGTATCAAGCTACATCAGTCATTTACTAGTGGGGTTTAAGCAGTATCCTGAATCATGTGTTAAATGATACAAACAATAATGATTAAAAAAAAAAGAGATCTTCTCGTTACCACCAGGCTACAGATATATTGGCCTATCAATGCTTAAGATTCCAATTGATTCTACTGAAACTAATTTTTCTCTACTCTTATTGATAGATATGGGCTTCTACGAGGAACCCTCAGGGCTCCAGCCCTGGGCTGGATGATGTACAATGTTCTGGTGAGCAATGAAAAGTCGATCCAATCTCAGTACAAATCCCACGTCTATGCCAACCCTGACAACGTGACGCCTGATATCATCGAGAGCCGATACGAGTTAACCAAAAGAAAAGGCGCACGGTTCGTCCCTGCGGCCTTCCTGACAGGCCTCCTCGATCCTGTCCAATCAAGGGAGGAATTTCTGCAGTTGTTTGCCAAGTTAGACGGAGATGTGCCAATTCTGGTGGTGTCAACGCTCAATGCTCCCAAGAGGTCCAAGGCTGAGATGGAGGCTCTCAAGGGCTCTAAAGGCGTGACAAAGTTCGTGGAGGTTGAAGGCGCTCTTCTACCGCAGGAAGAGTACCCCTTGGCAGTCGGGGAGGAACTCTACAGCTTCCTTCAGGAATCATTCGCAACAAGAAGATGAATGTGTGCGCACAATTGACAAGTCCCACACTTTGTGAGTAAATTCATTAACCTGCTACACTGTACTGGAGGTTTTAGCAACAATAAAGCAGCATCACCTGTTCACTTCCGTCTTCCCTGGTACCACGATTCCAAGCCTGCCTTTTGACAAAGCAGACATCCCATAACATCGCCGGTGTGCGCAAAGCGTGCCGCCATGATATCAGTGATTGCAGATTTCGATCAGGCACGTCATGGTTCGTGCCTGATCTGCATCAGAGCCTAACCCTTTGGTCCGGTGGCGTCCATTCATTGCACATGGTCGCAGCAGTTCGTCCTACACTTCTCTGCCTCTGGTCCTGGTTCTTTGCAATTGAATGGCCGAAGTACAACGCCTGAACGACGCTGGTCAGTGGTCTCCTGAGGTAAAACTTTTCTCCTCTCCCTCCAATACATTTCAGCTAGGTGAGGTCTTGTTGCTGTGCTGTGAGTTGTGAGCGCTCTGCGCTCAGCTTTCACTGGGGCTGGCATCAATGCCTTGAGAGTTGAGATTGAGAAGTGTTCCCCTCCTGTGCTGTGCCGCTAGAAGCAGGCACAGGACAGAGTACACTGCGGAGCAATATACAGATTCTGATCAATCATTGGCGCATGATTCCAGTGTCTGGCCGTGCCGCGGCTATCAATGCCGCATTTACTGAAGCCTCCCAGGCCAGGCCAGGCCAGCGGCGGCCCCGGGCACGGAACCTCGCCGTGCATCCTCGTTGGGCTCATTCGCCTGGCTGACGGTGGTTGCTCGGTCTGGTCTGGCCAGGCCGCTGAAGCTGCCGCGGCAATCGCCGTCGCCCGTCGGCATCCCAGGCCGTGGCCTGCCACGTGCCCCGGCGTTGAGCTTGGCACGGGCTAGAGGGAAGCGCATTTAAGGGAGGGAGAGTGAAGTCCAAGTGGCACGTGAAGTGTCCCAGTTCGGAGGTGGATTTTCTTCCCCTCGCCGTTGCCGAGGTGTAGTAATACAGCCAGCAGGAGCCGGGGGGTTGTTCTAGAGGATCCACGGCGATGGAGCGGGCGGGACACCGCCGCGTCGTCGCCGGTCGATTAAATGCGGCGCGATAGGGCCCTTGATTTGCCTGAACGGATTGGTAGGATACAGATACAGGCCCCGCATCGTATACGTGTGGTGTTGCGTGGTCCAGATGGCACGCACGCAGCGCCGCAGCGGTGCAGTGCTTGTGAACTTTGGAGAGAATCAAGCTGGTGGAGGATCAGCATTCAGCTATCGCCGTTGCAATGTTTCTCGCCAGGGGCACCAGTGCTGAAATGCGGAAAAGAACACTGCGAAAGCTGTTATGAAACGCATCCTGAGAGAGACTGAAACCAAAACTATAAAACTCCGTCGGTGACAGCGATCGCTTTTATTTGAACACATTACACATGGTAGTAGGTAAGATAAGATACGTTTGTGATATGAAACTCCTGTGCTCCATACGGCCTCGACGAGATTTGGTAGTTTCTTGCTGCTACCCAGGGGTGGTGATTCGTTTCAGTAGGGTTGTAGTAGGCCTTCAATCTTGTCAGCTTCCATCCCGTTCCTTTTGCGATCAGTTGATTCAGTTTTTATCTCCCCAAACCGACCGAACGGGGAAAAGGCAGCCATGGCGATGGCTCTGATAAAACCCTTTTTTCCTTCTTCATCTTTACACGTATAGCCATGACAAAGAAAAGGGAGGGTTTTTAGTTTGGTAGCAGCGTTGTCAAGTCCATTCTGAACCAAGGACAAGATGAGTGTATGCAATCTGCTCCACATTGCAAATGGCAAAAAGGTTTCTGATAAATCTCTTTGCCCTTGCGTTTTTTTTCCTTCGCGTCCAGACAAACAAAACAAGAGCTGTTTGGATGCATATGATTGATAACTGGCTTGCTGCTACAGTACGTCGCTGCGTCAGCGACCTGGGCTGGCTGCCAAGTCCCACCAACTCTTCCAACAAATCCAAGTTGCTTCGCTATATCCATAAACCCCTTTCGATGGTGCTCCCATCGTCAGCTTGCCACAAAATGATGGCCGATTCATCATGATGATCATACACACACAGATTCCTAGCTCACCCTTGTCATCCAGAGACTTCCTTGTCATGTCCAAACAAAGTTTTGGTTCCTCATCCCCCTTTATTGTACTCCCTCTATCCAGAAAAGAATACAACTACCGGTTGCGTGCAAGTATAAGTGGTTCACGTTTGACCAAATTTCGAGTGAATACTATTCACATTTATGGCTCCAAAAAAATTTATTATGAAAATATATTTCGTAGTTAATCTATAATTGATTGAACTTAGGATACAAAACCATGACACTGCTAGAATTGCATTCTTTCTTGGACGGAGGAAGTACTACCCAGCTTTGGCTGTAAATTTGGCAACAAGACAAATTGGGATCGCGGGTAGCCTTTTAAAACCTTTCAAAGTGGTTGTGGACTAAACACTAGCCAAAATCCAGACATCGTCTACACGACACCTTTTTTAATCAATCACGTGTTCCTGCTAGTTGCACGAGTGTTGCGAGAAACATGTTTGTTTCCAGTGATTTCCTTGTGGAGTTGTTGCTCTCCGAGCGTGCAGGAACGAACAGAAACGCTACCACTCCTGTTCTGAACCTTATGCATGGGGACGCCTGATAGAGATAAGCACAAAATTCTTTTTTGAGAAGGATAATCATCGATGGATAGATGACAGAGAGAGCTGCGAGCCGTAACGGTGTAGTAAATAAGACAGACAGACAGCTAACCGAATCCTCCTAGGTCGTGGACCGCAGTAAAAGCGGTGTTGCACTCACCATTGACTCGGTGACGCACATCAGTCAGCCTGTGCTGTGCCCGTTGCAGCAAGTGTCGCCGGCGCAGCGTCACATCCGCGCCACAGCCTTGACAATCCGGCACGTCCGTGGAGGCCCCCGGTTCACACATGTCCTGGGTCCTTTTCGTTACATTATACGTATTACACATCGTCGGCATGTCCATCGGAAATAAAGCCCTGCTAGCTGTTGAAACTCTTTTGACAAAAAAGTCATGTCTGTCCTGCTCCGTTTGCTAGTTTGATATGTATAAAACTCGATCGTCCATGCAAATCGAACAGTTTCGTGTGAAATTCATGCCTTGTGGATATGATGCTGCTACGGGCCTTTCGAGTGCTAGAGGTAATAATATATATGCAGATGCTGCCAATCCTCATGTTTGGTGGCATGAGAAGCTTCCTGCTGAATTTCCCCGCCGACGAAGCTGGTGCAACCGTGCGAGGGAGGATCGTGCAGGTGCTTTCAATTTGCGACGGCAGGCAGCGCGACCGGCTGACAGGCATATGAATTGCGTGCAACGGGTTCATTTCTGCTGACAGTGCCTCTGCCGTCGTCTCGTCTGTCCTTTTTTCTACCAACGTACAAAAGTCCACTTTCAAATACGCCATGCTCGCTTAGCTTATAAGCCGTATTTTTTCAGTCAATGAATATTATTTTTCTCTCACAATAAATTAGCAAATAGTAGATCAGAGGATGCGGTTGAGGCTTTAATAATAATGTACAGTCTGCCCTATTGATGCAAACGTGAGGGAGATCCATCAACCTCAAAGCAAATCCGACAGATACACATTTGATAGATGAGAGGAAAACAACAACCAATTGATAAAAAGATAAATTGAAACAAAAAAACAGTGTTTACTTTCAAATTATCAAATCTTGCATGACTTCACTATCTTCTATCTATCATTGATTTTTAAAGAGAGTTCGCCGCACGTACTTAAAATCTAGATCGATGCAAGGACAAAAGGGTAACATATCCAGAGAGATTTCACTCTTCTAGATACTCCAGGCAGAGTTCACGCGAACATTTGTAATATGTGCAAAGCAAAGTACTCCCTATATATATACAATATACAATATACAATATACAATATACAATATACAATATACAATATACAATATACATACGTGACATACGTCACGGTCGAGTAGGGTTGTCAAGTCAGGCTATAAATGGTCAAATTGATTGTACATGACGTGCACAATTTAAATTAAAGATAAGAAATAAAAAAATGAAAACCAAATAACTTATGGTAGGCACGTCTGTGTCTATACTACATACATGCCGCTTACGTGTACATCAACCACGTGTCATGTCCGTGGGCCAATGGGCCTTTACTAGGCCCATTATTTTTAATTAGTTAGTTATCAGATCTTCTATTTACAAGATAGAGATCATCACTCTCTACAAACTCGTTTCGCAATCAGGCTTTTCGAACCAAATGCCACCACCATCAAGGCCCGAATGAATGACATGTGGCCCACGCTATTACTTCCCCTTATCTTCTCATGCAATTGGAAGTCGGCCCTTCTCAAAAAATTTTCCTTTATTAAAACCCTTCGTTCTCATGCAAAAGTCTGTCCTCTTTTTTTTTTTTTTTGTAAAAATTTCATCAAATCTTTGTTGATGTAAAATAGAAACAGAATAATGTATGCTAACATGTTGGGTTACTTTATTTTCATCTTTTTAAATTTATATGAACTGTAAGTTGATGCTCTTATGCTGTCTTTAGAAAATATAATAATGTATGAGGAATGGGGGAGTCGAGCTCTTAAGTTTAACAACCTCGTCATCACATCACACAGGAAGAAAGAGGATGATACTTGTGTTAGGACTCTTTGGATCATCTAGGTGCGGATCCAGTGGGTGATTTCTTTATTAGTTGAATCAAATACACCTATAGCTTCCTTTGGGAGTAGGAGACAGAGAGAGAGTAGGAGCATCTGACCGTCGGAGGAGCTCCCTGCCTTCGCTGGTTCGTCGATGAAGATCTGCACACGGCAGCGACGGTCGGAGTAGCGGTGAAGACCGGCGGTGGCGCAGTGCAGTGGCGGCGGCGGTGCTTCCCGTCACTAGCTGCGCCCCTCTGTTAGATCGGAGTAGGGTTTCTAGGTGGGGCGTACGGCTCAGGCGAACCTCGTACTGAGAGCCGTCGACCCCACCTCTATTTAATGCGCAGT